ATATATATAAGCAGTCGTTTGTTTTTGTTTGGTTTGTAAAAATGGGTAAAATCTTGTGATTATTTTTATTTGGTCCGGTACTGTTACGCCGGAACTTTTCGAGCTATAATCGCCGTAGGTAGCAACATGTCTTAAATCTTACTACTAGTTTTTGCTTCTTAATTTTTTTGGATGGATATTCCTCGTTGAGAGAAGGAGGGTGACAAAAAATGTTAGAAAATACGTTTTGATTTGATTTGGAAAGGAAATTTAACTGAAGTTTAGTTGTGAATAGTCCTATCATGTTCATCATCACATTTTGTGCTATATGTTAGCACGAATATATTGAACAATTGGCCAGAAAATTTTCACATTCCTTTATTGATTATTCATATAGGTGAAAGGAATTTGTTCAAATATTCCTTTTGTTCACTTTCTTCACGTAACGCCGCTTCATATTCGACGTGTAAACGTTCCAGCTCAATGCGTCTTTCACGAATCAGAATCTGCAACAGTGTTCCATCGAACATTTGCAATAGTAACAGCGAAATGCGATTCTCTGATGCGTTCTCAATCATCATTACTTGCTATTGTCACGTTTAATGTTGAACTGCGAATGTCTCGGTTTGTGCATACACGATGGTGTCTGTCTCGTTTGTGAAATCATCCACTTCTATTGCAAAACACAATATCTCTTTAGTAGAAATACGTTCAAATATGGCATCTGTATTATACGTACAGCAAACATGCACAACCCATGTGTTCGTAAGAGGAAGTTTCTAGGTTATATAACGGCTATTCAGTTGGGATAGATTGAAGTGGGTAATTGATTATTCAACTGCGAAGTAGTATGCTTAAATAACTAAAAATTCCTGAGCTAATAGGTCTCGTTCTGGCAATAACCCATAATTGTTCATTCAATGATATACCATCACTTCAAGTTGCTACTCCGAATTGTTCTTGAATTTAGTCATGAGCACGCACAATGATATTACAAATGTTTCACATGTTTATTAGGCATGATTCTAGCTGTAACGTGTGCGGTTGTTCTAAAAAAAGTATCAGTTTCTGAGAAAAGCACCATTCTTTGATAACTGTAGAAAAATTGCCCACTGGGTTTTGGTGGGCTAATTAGAATTGATTGCTAACACAGACCTGTAATTGCTGTGCATCTGCAGCCTTTTGCTTATCAGCTGCTTTGAGCGCGTTGCGAGAGGACATCGCACGAAGCCTTTCGATATCGACCATTTTCGCAAACTTCAAATGATTCCTTGTTTTCGTTGCGATTTATATTTTATTGAGCGATCAATTTGTTGTTGTTACATTTGAAATTTATTACATTTGAATTTATTTGTTATTGCATTCAATCAGAATTTATTACGTTTGAAATTTATTTAAGCAGTTAATGCCTACAGATTGTTGAAACAACAGTCTGTAAGCATTAATTGCTTAAATAAATTTCAAATGTAGAATGCTAATTGAATTTATGTTTAGCTTGATTGCCATCACTATCATTATGTACTATTATTATTATTATTATTATTATTATTATTATTATTATTATTATCCATTGCTATCACTGTTGTAATCATGACAAATATTTTAAAGATTATTGCTACTGATAAAATTATTGTTATCGTTATCAGTAGCTAATGGCTCGGCACGATGAATATATCAATAAACCTCATTCAAAGTTTCCATTAAACTGTCGGTGTTCGATTGAAAAGCATTCACTTTGTTACGAAATTCCTTCAGTTCATCGCACAATTCACCGCTGGATTCAGCCAAATCTTAAGAGAACAATGCGCTTTGGAATAGACTACTTGATAATTTATTTATTCATTTGCACAATAAACTAACTTTAATTACTCTCTACACTCTCCAATCATTTTTCTTGTGTTTTGGTTTAATGTTTTTGTTCAAATGCTTGTTGTATTGGTTTTTTGAAGATAATTCATAAAAAAATTTGAAACACCTGTTTGTAGGAGTCGAATTTTATTGAATGAATCCAAATGTAATCCGCTTTTGGCTAATGCCTCTTCAGCCATTCCTGGTGATAATACCTTTAAAAAATCATTCATCATCAATGATTTGCATTACCGACGGCCTTATCGCGTAAATTCGCACTGACTACATTGCTCTCTTAAAAACATGATGTTAATAATATAAATATTTGTATTATTAACATCACGTTTTTGATGTTAATAATATTTATATTGTTAACATCAAAAACCTTGACTAATCGTCATTTAAAAAGCAGCACTCTTTATGGTAATATAGTGGTAATGATGATAAAAATAATAATAAATGATAACATTGATAATAATAACAGTAAATGATGATAATAATAGTATAAAAATAATAAAACAGTAATAGTCATTTGCATAGACATATGTTCTCAGGATGCATGGAATGATGAAGAAGGTAGGTAACATCCAGTGAAACTAACAGAGAGAACAATAAAAGCAGATGTAGAGAAGAAAGAGATCATTGATTGAATGGGATTGGCTATTTTTTACTTGCAAACCAGGCAGGATTGTTACTGCTGTCTTTATTTATATATAGGTGTTGCTGAGGGTTGCTTAGGAACCTATCCAGTCGAACGAACGAGCAAACGCTGTGAGTCATTTTGCTTTCATGCGACAAGGATATCGAAAAGAGAGAATAAGTTCATGAAAAGGGATGGATACATCGGTGGAGACATTTAGCAGTCACATATGCGACACCACGTTTAGCAGCAAAATTATCACGTACGTGATGGTCAGTGAGTGAGTGATAAACTGACGTTTTACAGACAACTTTCAAATGAAAATTTATTTATTTTTTATTTGTTTAATCCACAAATCCAACTCATTACGAGTTTATGCTTCTCTGTTATCACCAATATCACATTTTTACTTCCTTGGTATTCTTCGTTCCACGCAGCTGACGATAATAGCGTCGGAAATCTTGTGTCTTCATGAAATTCTGATTTGGATTATTGATTTGGCAAGCATAGAGGTTTTGGGCTACTCTCCCATATTAACCAATGATTTTTAGAAAGAGAAACTCAAAAGGAGCTCGAAAGTATATCCCGATTGATCGATCGAACATTCGTCCAACGATCGTTCAGAGTAGTTGTTTGGACAGTAGTAGATCTTTCGGTATCAGTAATAAACAATTAATGTAACCGAGTAGATCCATAGCAATCGGCGTATCAAACATTCCACAACCAAGCAACAACGAATGTCCGTTGACACAGATAATTTGCATAATTAAATACAGCCGACTACCAATCCATTAAACATTCGCAACAATGACAGACATTTTGCTGATCGCACAGAGCGATCGGCTAGCCAACCGCTCAGTGCCCAAGCAACGGTCCCAATCCAAATAACAATTCCAGCAACAGTCATTTTGCAAATGACAATTAGTAATGTTTTATGTGCGATTCAATTTCAACCCAATACTTGTTTTTTGCAATAACAAAATCTCATTCGTATTCATTTGTCCATCTTCGTGCTTTGATCCAGTGGATCATCTGAAAGAGGTAAGTGTTAGCTGCAGTCTCTTGCCGAACGAAATCAAGCCGGTTTTTCGCGTAATAAAGCACCACTAAGACTGTTTAAGTTGTTAAAAGAATTGATGAAGTTCATTTTCTATATTTGCTCATATCACACGTTTAAAGATAAATACTTCAGACGAACGTATTCAAAAATGATGGAAGCCTTGCCATGTAACTGCTAGTTATAACTGTAGGCATCTCATATTGTTCCAAGAATGAGAATGTCACACTATGTAATGTTAACATACCGCCTGCTGTTCAATCTTTTGCAGAGCAGCAATTCTATGCACGCTTGTATTTTCGGAAAAACCATCTTCGAAACGACAACAAGTTCATGTTCGGTTCGTAAACTATTAATATTTTGTTCTTCGGATGGAGCATGTCCTTGAATATCTGAAAAAGAATGCGTATTTTCATTGACATGTTTCCATTTCAATAACCATTCATCTATTTATTTCTATATGATTATGTGCTTGATTCTGAGAGTACCGTGTTTAGATGATCAGCGCACTCAAATTTCGCGAATAATATCGAAACATTTTTTCAGATCTGAGTTGAATATAACTTCAGCTATCAAAAGAGTACATATAACAAAAAGTTTTTCGTTCAAGAGCCGTGATGGTCTCATATGTTTGTTTACAGATCATCAGGAATATGCTACATTCTCTCCGTTGTAGTAAAACAACAGTTCTACGTAATTGATGACTGCAATATTTTATGATATGCCATCTTTAAGTATTTCAGCGAGCACTTTTACACAAAATTCTGACTTCTAAAATTGATCATATTTTGTGTTTTCCATATGAATAATAAGTTCATTACAAAAGTATGTGTATTTTTCTAAAGGAAAAATTTCTAATTTCAGAGCTATTCACGTACTTATGTCTCATCATATAATTACCATGCCCGAGTTATCAGTAAGCTCACGTCACATCTCCAACTTATTATTACTTTGTTTTAAGGACAGTGGATTACTCCACTTAATCGCTATATAGGTGCAGTCTCGGTGGGGAATCTCACATTCAACAGCTATTCATCAGTTCATTTGTTAATGATGCACCATGTCAAATTTGATTTCGTTTCAGCATTCAACTGATTCGATGAAACAGAAAAAATATTTTTATTGAATTAATGCTTGGAATGAATATAATTCTCTCGAATGACACAAAAACAATAAAAGTGCATGAATGAATGAAGGCAACACAATACAGTGAAAATTTTCTCAAAAAAATCAAAACAATGGCGATATGCAAAAGTAAACATTGCAAAGTTCAACAGCGAAATACAGTGAAAATAAACTTTCAATAACAACAATAACAATGACCGAAATAGGAAATGAATAATCAGTCAAGCGAAAAACCATTGATGTAAACTGAAATCACGATGGCATTCATAAACGAAAACAAGAACATGGCAAAAAACTTATCTTCATTAGGCTTACCCTTTACAAGAACGATACCACAAAGACGCATAACATGCATACGGATTAAGATTCAAAGAAAAATTACTGAGGAATACAAACCAAAAAGATGCAACAACTCACTTTAAACGGATTCATTTTTAGTGCTATAATTTTCAACGTCAGACGGAAAAATCAACTTAGGCGAAAGCCTTTCTTGAATTTTAGTGCATTCACATTCCTTCCACGAAATTCTTTCGGGAGCCCGACTTTCTCATTGTTGATAAGTTCAAGTAAGGATGGATATTTTGTTGGTACACTCCACGCGGATGCCATATCCAACATGATTACACTGATTAAAAAAGACTCCACAAAATAAAACAAAAAACAACAACAAAACGACTGGAAAGCTTGACTTTTTGAAACACAATAAATAAATTACAGTGAGCGTGATAAAACATTCGAAGAAAAATTATTTATTTACACATGAGGCTTTATGACCTGTATGCAGTTTGAATCAATTCGAATAGATGATCACTTCGATCATATATCACTTCAGGTCATAAATTAATTTTCAAAGATTTGTTCGGCAATGCTAATTGTAAGGTTCGGCATTGGAACATCATTTCTTTGTAGTTGTTTTTCGATTTACCGTAACAAAAATAAATGACTCCTCAGTTCTGTCACGGGTTGTATGCACAAGCAATGAACCAGAAACGCCGCTTGATCTGTTATTTAGCACTTTTTGAACAAGAACGAAAACATTTGGATGTCATAAACACAACAACGGAAACAATGAACGAATAAACGTCTCCGAACATTACATATTTGGTAAATTTATTATGGTTGTCTTGTTTAGAAATCACTGAGACAATCAGAGTGAACAATGTGAAAAATATGGATTGCAATTGAAGTAAATTTAAGATGATAAGGTGAAGAATCATTCATGACGAATGTAGTAATTGATCTCTCGGTTGGTTAGGAATTGAATTATTCGACTGAAATAATCGATGAAAGGAAAAGAAGTGAATGGGTCGTCGATGCTAAAGTCCGCCATGAAAATCGTTCACAACTGAATTATCTAATTCAACTTCCGCTTCGCTGCTGATCAGAAGTCGCTCAAAATCCTCTAATTCAGTAGAGTCAGCTTGATCCATTCGACGATAAAAACTGAATGCGAAACAGCCAAACATTAAAAATGGTCCAAAAAGAACACAAAGGTAACATTCCTTATTGCGCATCCTCGACAAATTCAATCACACATATTTGGCTGATTTTTAAGCAGATTTGACGTGCAAAATCAAACAAAGAAATGAAAGCCCTCTCAAAAGAAGGCAGACGACTCACCTGACATCAGAAAGAAAGAAGCGTCGATTTACACTTGTTGGCCAAAACAAATGCACAAGACAGGTTATTGCCAGAAAGTTGGCTATTGTTGTTATTCCTCAAATACAACATGAGGCATTAAACCTTCACTTACAATCACAACAAACAATTCAATTTGATTGCACACCACTCATTTCAGCTATGTAACAAGATATCTGATTTCCACTTAATTCATGAATTACTTGAGTAAGACAGAGATGAACAAAAACGCATCTCGGTAAGAAACCACAAAGTTTGAATAATCAGCTTGAAAATGTCGATATCATGCAGGACATCTTAATGAAAAAAAAACTGAATCGAAGAAACAAAATTTCGCGTTAAAGAATCCATTTTCTAAACCTTAAAAAAAGAACACATAATAAATGGCTGGCAAGAAACACACAACAACGACTCAATATCAAAACGACAAAAATTAAACCTAAAATAATTTTGAATCGCCACAGAACCGATATGAACGACACGATAACACCAAGTGCGGATGGATAAATGAACCATACCAAGTAACCGGCACCAATATGAGCCAAAAATTCGGCCCGATCTTCATCATCCTCTCTTCAAATATGATATTACTGTTTCTAAGCAGGTAACAAAAATAATCTGTCTCCTGAACCGCGATCTTGCTCCCTTTTGAAGCTTTATATTTGTTTCCATTTTTAATTCCGATGGGTTATTATTATGGAGGAAAAACAATTACAGTAATGATCAATCAATTATGTAATATTCTCAGTAAAGCCTACCTATCAATAGAAAAACGCATTTCGGTAAGAAACCACAACGCTTGAATCATTCGAATAATCAACATTCCATAACCCGGCCATGACTTAAAAACGTCGATATCATGCAGGACATCGTCAACGAAAAACTGAAAAGAAAATACAATTGATTAAAAGAAACAAATTTTCGTGTGAAACTCATCGAAATTCCATTTTCCAAATTCGGAAATGATTTAAAATTTACATTGGAGAAAACGAACGCACGAAAACGAAAAACGATAGCATACTAACATCAAAATTATGACAATGACTAGCATCAATAACACTAAGGATAATACCAAAACTTACGAAATTGATAAAGAAAAGTGCAAAATGTGTGGCTGTGAGAATAGACCAAATAAGGATTGCATTTCGATTCGACGATAACAGAGTCGACGGTTGATCACTGAGAGACCATCCTCGACTCAATAAGAGCAATAAAAGGCACAGGCAACAAATGGACCATAAACGTAACATTTCACCAAATAGGCGTGCCAACATTACTCCCTGTAAGATATCACAGAAATCAATTAATAAATAAATCAACTCATGTTAATAAATGATTAAATAAACCTATCAACTTAAATGAATACTCCATTAATGGGTTACTCATTAACTGATCGACTGACTAACGAAAAGGTTCACACCTGTCCATCATATGCAAAAACGACCACATTTAAACACTGTAGAATGAGACCAACAGTTTTGGTGGCAATAATGCAAGTGAGTAATTTCTGTCGAGGAACAATACGTGGATAATGACTGAGTGTGAGTGCACGCCATTGGCACAAACACAGCATCGAATAGAGCAAAACGAATATTAGAAACATTTCTGCTGAATCCTAAAATTACCTTCAAAAAACAACTGATATTTGCTTGAATCAGCCAATCATGCAATCAATCAACTATAAAAATTCTTTAACGACTATGCAGATTATATCACACGTTATGATACTTAATCGTGAACTGAAATGTAAGTCACATATTATAATAGGTCTCTAATCCAAATCCTGTTAATGCAAATTTTAATCTGAGATATCTTCAAATTTTTCATAGTCGTTCCATTATGTTAATGTTTGAAAAAACTCATTACGATGCGCAATGAATTACTCAAAAACAACGAGATAAAACCTGTTCATCGAAACTGAATTGATGTGTGAAAGGATTTAGGTATCGCAGTTGAGGACTACCATTCGTCAGCCAAATATCGTAATGAAGCGTTATTAAATCCTTGGTCGGAATCCATGAGCAATTTGCATCCAAATTACAACCAATCAACAAAACATACCAATATTCTGGCGTGTATGGTTCTTCCACACGCAGTGTCATTTGATAGCCGTCTATTACCTATGAGATATATGCACGGTGAATAACATGCTCTCTCATTCTGATCAACCGAATACTCGAAAATACGGCTGCTCGTCTCAAAATATGAGTAGTTGTTGTATGATAATTGAACATACGGCAATGAATCGTTTTGAAAACTCAATCGAAGTAAACCACGAATTACGAAAAGTGTGCGAATTAGGCACTAATACTGGTGTCATGCGGGGACGGAAAAAAGTCGAGGACAGTGAGCCGGAAATTCCCCGACTCCCGCACCATACTAATTTGATACGATACCTTTGCTGCATCCGTTTCGTCTTCACACAAGTGGCCCTTTGGGCAAGGTACCCAACGCATGATATCGCCTTTTCCTTTCGGCATACACTTCGTTTCGAACGCCAACGAAGAAACATTCTAGAATCACATAATTAATAGACACAAACACTGAATTTGTAAATGACTGAGTGCCGAGAAACGATCAATCAACATACTTTTAACATCGACTCACATGACTGTCCGTACATTGAATCGACGAAGAACGATGGAAGTAGTATTTGTGGCACAATAATCAACACGGCACGACCTATAAATGGAAAGTAACAATTGAGATACGACATCATGAGTCAATTGTAAATTTATGAAGCGTGATTAAGTTTGTGTGATCAGCTGATTCAGTTAGCAATAAAAGAAAGCATCGAATGGATTTTCTCACCTAATCAGAGAGTGAATCTAATCCGGATTTCAGCTGTATCTGACACTGAACAATTAGATTATTATCAATAGAGATGAATGTATCGTGAAACGAAAAAAAGGAAAAATTCTACTTTCGAAGTTGAAATCCGACGATATGTTGCCATAAATGAAGCCTCGACTGTTCTTTGAATCCGCCTGTTCCATGGGATCAGTTTGTTGAAAACCGAATTTGGCCAACACTGTTAGACGAGCGTTATTTGTATTCCATGAGCCTTTGATACGTAGGGCTGATAAAGTGGAAGTGAAATGTAAAACGATCGCAACGACTGAGATGGTGGTGGTAAGGCCAACACTGTGCGATGATAAAGATGATAACATTTGCGTTGGCCACAGTTGCCCTCTCTTTGACCACGCTATTCTCTTCCTTCAAGCCCATCTAGCGTTTTCACCGTACATTTGGCTGGAACTTAGCCTGATCTAATCCTTTGCAAAATACTGCAATTCAATGATTTAGAGAACTAATGGAAACATTCAGCTAACAGTACAGATGTGAAAATGAGGATGTACCCCTTTTTTCCTCAGCTATACACTATGCTGCACCTGGATTCGGAACGACGTTGTCACCAATAGTATCAAGTGTGTAAGAAATCGCTCGTTCGTAAAACTTCTAAGGAGTCGCTTCCAAAATTGCATTGGTAGTCATGTGGTTCTAATTGGAGGGAGTATTTAGGATTTGAGAACGTTGAGAATTGCTGATGCAGGTGTGAGAACGACGAAAGGAGGTGAATTGCGGAGGTTGACCTGTTAATGCTGATTGACTTTTTTCATAAGTGCTCAATAATGAACCCAATACGTTCGTTTATTGACAGCACAAAGAAATTATTCCATTGATACCAACAACAAATTGTTGACAGCAAAGTTCTTGAATCAATTTTTCGATTTCCATTCAATAGATTGTTGGAGGCGCATAGAGGAGTGACTGTTTGTCATACGGCTAAAAGGGAGCTCAAACACAGGAGTAACTAATAATGAATGAGAATTTGAGAGGAAGCAACTCGTACGACTACTTTCGGGCCGTAATTCTGCTATAGTTATATAATTTCTACTAAAGAACTACTTTTTATCCCAGGAAACCCTGCTTTGCTGAAAAAATTTTGGCAAAAATGTAAGTCTGAAACAGTTATCAAACATTTTGGCAAATCTCTAAATCAGTGACTGTCGTCCCATTTTAACCAATCGCTCAGTTGGAGGATGGGAGAATAGCCGAATCGTCCGACTTCCTCACCACATCCATCAGTATGCAATTACCACCGCGACGAGGCGATATAGCGTTGTCGCTATTTTACGCTATTTGATAGTGGTAAACGATCACATTTTATCGATACGTGTTAGTATTAATCATACGACAAAGAATACAGTTGTCTACACATTCGCGTCTAATCCTGCTGTAAAACAAGAAACATTATCAAATTTTGGAGCCGCTTTCCATTCGTGGAGTGATTCACGTATATTGCGATCAGTTATGGTCAAATATGGCCGGAAGAAAGGAGATAGAACTCTATGCTTGGTGAAACAAATTGCAGGAGAACAAATTGAATTTCACAGATCGCAGAACCTGATTTCATTGTGAGATACTGTATTGAACAGTTCGGCTAGTCGCGACGACGACATCAACAAGAAGCAGTCAAATTTCTTTATGAAAACAACTGACAATGATCGCGACGAAACGAATAGCATGAAAATTTGAAAAAAAAAGATTCTAATTAGATGTATTTAAACAAGGATTCATAGTTTTCGATTAAACATATTGATTAATTGAAATAATAAGTTCGTGACTCTTTCAAATGGCCAATAAAAATCATTTATAATTCTATCCTCGAACATTTATAAGTATATCTATCAGTAGTGACCATATTCGATGTTTACATTTGTTTCAAAGCCGGGTTCCTGTTTACATTCAATTTCCTCTCGATTCATCGATTCATTAATCAATCTGACTTCAGAAACTCAAAATGATCAATTCTGAGCATGTTATTCATAAAAACTTGACCATTGTCTGCTGAGGAGTAGGCAACTGGAGTGCACTTCCTGTTGACATCATTGAATGTCAACTTCAATATTGTCCAATGTGGACCCTTAGGCAAAAATACGTCTCTTCCTAGCCTTGTTGACGTGCGCAATGTTTTTTGTCAGTCTATTTTATTCGCAAACTGCCAGCTTGCCGTTTAATTGTTTTCAAGCTATATTCACGAATGCTCACTCGAAACACTACTTTTATCAAATTAAGTACATTTACGTGATATGCATAATTTTAGGTATAAATGAGCCATTACCGTTCATTACGTTTATTTCGTTATTCGAATGTATTCGACTTCATTTGAAAGAAATTTTAAGGAATTAATTAGTTTGATTGTTGGAATGATTGTTCAGTTGATGTTTTAATCACGTGCATTATTCGAATTTATTTTCTCAATTGTAATAGCTTAGTATAATAGGTCAATAATTTCATGAAAAGATAGATCATTTACTACTGTCTTGCTTAATACGTTTTTTTCACAATATTGCTTCCTGTGACGGCGATATGGAAAATAAGGCAGCTGTGTGCACAGCTAACTTCTGGGAAGTATCGTCAAATTTCAATGCTATGACTGCCTTCGAAAGGGATTTATTATTAACGCTGATGGTGTGATTGGAAAGTTTACTGAGATTCATCAGAAATTGGCTTTATTATCTTGTACTTTTTTCACTGAAAATCGTTTGAAGTATCTGATAAACTGGTTAACTAGCATTATGTGAAGTTTCTGAAACGTCGAATGTGCAAATGAATGATCGCAAATTGTTTCTCAGATTATGAACTTCTGAATTATGTGAGTTACATCCAGCTGCATTTGTCATATTGTGGCGTGACGTGCATATAAATCTATTTCATTCATAAGCACGGGAAAGATAGTCAGTGTACTATGGGGTATCAATTTTACCTTTTTCGCGATCAGGTTATCAATTTTACCTTGTTCGCGATCTTGTGCCTCTTTTGGATTTCGACCTATATATACCGTAATTTTCATAAGAATATTCATAACAGTTACAGCAAGCATCACCGTGAAAGGATGATTTTGCAGAGCTGGATTATTGTTTCGATCTAATTCATCTCAGCGTCATTTGTAAAATTATAGCTTTCATGGTTTTGTATGCGTATTCATCACTTAATTAAAAGTCTGAAGTGAAGAAGTAAAAATTGGTTGTGAAGGAAATGATTAGTGAAGAGTATGTGGGAATGAATGAAAATAAGATTGATGGATAAATTAGAAAAACAATTAAGTAGGTTTGGTTGATGAATGGATGGCGCATAGATAGCTGAATGGTTAGTATGAATGTGCACGAATAAGCGGATGAATGAATTGCTCTGCTGTAATCATGTTTGCTTCATCCGTACCATTATCATCATGATAATGAGCCCATAATCGTGATGATCATGATGACGATCATGACCAAATTTACTTAAGTGCTACCGTTTCTTCCCCTCGAAGATCCTTTTCGAGTGTCGTTTTTGCATTCCTCTGTTCGTTCATTTGTTCCCACTTGCTTGTTGTTAACTTTGGTCTTTAATTAAGTTGAAACAACTGAGCATTCAAATAACTAAATTGTAAACAAATTTAATTTGTGGTGGACCAAAAGAAGAGCACAGTGCTGATGATGAGGAGAATGATAACGATAGTGAGCTGTCTAAATGGCGATTCAAATAATTTTCTAACTGATAATCATGGTGGTGCACATCGTTCAACCACCCGTCGATCTTCAATGGGTTTATTCCATTCGAGCTAAAACTTAAAAAACCGAAAAAATTGCTGCCTTCTGCTGCCACTGAAAAAGTGCTTCTACTGTTGGTGCTTCATTGAGATGGATGCGTGAATGATTGAATAGATGAATGACATCAGTTAAAATGAAACCAAATCAAATAAGATCTTCTGAAGTCAAATCCACTTATTCATTCCACTTACTACCCGAATAAATCCATATATATCAACTAGATACTACTCGGCGCTTATACTTTCTTCTAAAACAACAATAGCAATTCACCACTACAATTCACTACATAATATCACGTTTATTCTCGTTTCATCTATATTCTGCATTTCATTCACATCACTCTCGACTCTATTTTCTAAGTCTATACGCTCTATTACACGACATAAAGTATATCATGGATAATTCAATTCATCCGTGATCAGCATCATCATCATCAACCCAATCATACATCCGTGCATTCCGTTTCTTCATCTCATCAATTCAAAGATATATTTCTGTCTCCGGATCGCATACGCACTTGTTCAGATGCATTCCGATACCTTCTTCGATCACCCGCCCACTATCATACAACTCTCCGGCAGATTGACCTCTGCATCCTTGCTTTCACGTTCTTTCGTTACACCATAACTGTGCAACCTTATCACTCAAAAGGATATGGTCGTTAATGCTGTGATTGTCATCATTACTATTAATCATCATTATCACAGTATATCTTATTCGAAATATTGATATGATAAGTTTTCGCAATGGTGCTGTAATTTTCCTTGCTTTCGACATTATTATGTTCACCAATATTAATGGCGCAGAAGCTTTCATGTAAAAAGTTTTCGAAAAGTTGGCCGAATCAGTTTTACGATTTGAGACGACCATTGCTAAAGATGCTCCAGTTGATCTCCACACAGCCATCAGTTTCTCATCTGAGTATCGGAATCGTTTGCATGCGAGTGAAATATAGCAATCTTTTTTTCTTGAATCTACTCAGTGTATTTCTGCCATATACCTTCTTGAATTTTAAAATAGACAATAATCCTTAAAATAGATTACTTCACCGATCATGTAACGAATAATTAAAAACACCTCCCACTAATTTGTAACCATCCAACTAAATTCGATTGTGCAAAGATGTTCATTCTCCACAGTAGTAAACGAGAGGTTGCATTTGGTTACTATGGACTGAAAATTTTCAAGTTTCAAAACTTTTGACAGCGAAAATCATCAGATGAGTTTATGCTCGCTTTTGGGCTTTCGACTTTAACGTTGAATAAATCAACTGATAAAAACCGGTAACGACGATTCAATGGCTAAGATGAGTCGGATTGCCTTCTTGAACAAGCATTTAACTATCATCTTGAGAGCTAGCCTATTGAGAAGATGTACTTGTTTGATAGTTGACTAAATATCTCATTTAGATGTATTTATTCGAAAGCTTTTACGCACCTCGTCGATCACCGATATTTGAATCTCAACAGTTATTCATTGACTATCGAAACAATTTCTTTATTGATTTTACTTTAACGTTGTCGAAAAATTCAAGAGGGAAGAAGAAACCAGTCACAGTATCAGTATCGTACTTCATTTAATAAAAGCTCTTTCTTACCTAATTGAAAAGATGAGTCGCAATCAAACGCAATTTCAAAGAAGTGGGCAAAATTTTTTTAATCATTTACGAGTGAAAAGACAGATGGAAAAGGAAATGCAATTCACTTGTCTCTTTTAAACAATTATACCTCATGAAAGTTGCACTTAAAACTGAAATATTTTGCGATCAATAACGCAAACGTCTCCTCGATCATTTCTTCTATATGGAACATATATTATACATTAAGGCTTGTTAATTTTTATGTGATATTGTCATGCGAAATGATTGATTTAAAAGTGTCACGAACTGAAGACTTTGACGTTTCGGCCAGAAATCATCAATAAAAAATTAGTGACAGAAAGAACGAACTAATCTTTCATTCTGAATTCCCTCTCAAGTGCACAATATCAGAGTACATTAGTTCTTTTTTTTGTGCAGCAACAAACAAATCGGTACAATTGATTGCTGCCGCTGTTTCATCGTACATTGACAGAAAGATGGTGCAAACAAGGTAAATGAATTGCTGCCTTTTTAAACATACCGACTAACAGTAGCCAGAGAACTACTTATTGTTCTTCGATGAGAAAAGCAATTCCTCAGAAGAAATGCACTGTCTCTTGTCTAGCTCCATTCTTATTTAAAATGCACACTAATTGAAATCAAATATGAATTGATCTCGCACGTTGACTTACAATATCATCGTACATCCGATGATGGCATCCAATTCCTTGTCTAGATCGTTGGTTTCATTTATAATCAATGGTGCTTGAACGAATGCTGTTAAGTTTTTTAAATGAACTTGACGGCATTCACTTAAATTATGTGTTCAAGCGGATGGCATAAGACATTTATGTTTGCCTGATATGGTATGATATTGCTTGTTATGTACGCATAATGAAATTGAACGATTATTAATGTGTGTGGTGCGATGATATGTTCGAACAGAAGTGGTATAATCGTATTATCATTTGCTTACATAGTTGAAAGATTGCTAACAGCTAGTGATCATCAAAGAGTGGTATTTGTTAAAAAGAATCTGCCTTGGTCATTTAGTGAATTGAATTAATTCAGTGTAATAATGGGCTTATTGGATAATATATCGGATGAATATCGTGAACGTGTTATGCAATTTTATAATGAAACGAAACGCTTCGAGGCACACATTGGTATTATTATACCAGCCATATTTGCATGTGTTATCGCAATTGGTTTGGTTGGAAATTTATTGGTGGTTATCGTTGCACTGCATCGACAAATGCGTAACTCCACGAATACTTTAATACTTGGTAAAAATTTTGCTTGTGTTTGTTGGTTACTTTTCTGTTAATTTTTTTCCTTTCTCATGCTATTGTCAATATCTCTATGAATATAATCACTTGTTTGCTTCTTATATTAAATTATCGTCATCATTGATACTATTACTATTGTTATCAGCACTAAATTCAACACCATTATTGCTGATATAATGGTGCTGAACAATCGAACGAATATTATCTACGCTGAATTCATTTATCCTCTCATCTAATTCTGCTCATACATCAATTTTACTTTAAAAATTTGCCGAAAGAATTCATATCAACATGATTAAATTGATTTAATTTGCTAAAGTAATAAGGAATTCAGAAAGCAAGCAAAATTTTGAAGAAGAGACTAATATAATGGATGACCAATTAAAAACTGATTTGAAGAAACGCCTTTTTTCAATTCCTAATAGTTGTTTTCGTTCAAACTGATTGATCTGTTCACTATTTATCTTCATAAACAAAACTTTACTACGTGAGTGGGATTCAGAACTGCCATCTCGTCCACCTTACCAACCTTATGCTCTATCGTCGACATGCTTTGTCAATGTTCATGATTGTCAATATTTGAGGGAAGCCATGATTCAAGTTCAAGAAAAATTTGAGAACCATAGGTTGTTGTCGTATGCGCATTTAACGACACCAAATGAATTATGAACTGAGTTAATTAGTCGGCTACTTACTGAATCTTTCTCGAGCTCCTCAAGAAAAAAATCGATCAGAACAATGGAAGAAAATTGCTTCGTTGTATTTCTTTCCCACAACAATTCTTCGATTGTGGGTGGGTGGTGTTGATTGTTTTGAGTGATGTTGACTGAGAATCAACACCACCGGAAACAATACTTTCTGTGTCATATTGAATCGGAATCAAGAGTTTTTGCTAACTGCAACTGAAGACTTGAGTTTGTTTGATTGCTCCGAGATGAGTACAATGATATTTTTCGTCCAAGTTTGACAAGAACTTATGTCAAATGAACACACAAGCAAAATCATATTTATTCACATTTGTTTCATTCTCTTCTCGTTTAAGGGAAACAACACATTCGAAGTAGTGATGTATGGCTCAATTACAGTAAGCAAGTAGTTCAATTAAATTTTAAAGATGATTTTTTTTGTTTAACTGGTTGTGGGTTTTTCTTTTTTCATCGCATTGCCTGTATCTTACGTTTAAGCTGTACTAAGGGGAAGAAGAAAACGCTAGGGATGGATTCATGGATGAATGAATATGGGTTGATGAATGGAAGGATGCAGAGATGGAAGGATGGATGCAAAGATATGGATGGATGGATTTTCATAAAAAATAACGAAATAATTTACTCGATTATAGTAATTTTACCTTTAAGAATGGTGATAAAGATGGTGATGATGATACAGTTATTGCTTCCTCATCTCCTTTTCGCCTTAAAATTTACTATGATTATCAACATCTAAGGCTAATTATTATTTTTATCGATTCAGTTGTTCGTTTGACTGCTAACTTGCCTACTCGCAAACACCAACAACTTTCAAACGCCTATCGCCCATCAACTCACCTTATTCATAGATGGTGATTACCGTTGTTATGAATAAGATTCACTTCGCCTGAAAATTATTCTCTTTACTAACTTAGTTTCGGTATTTTCAAAACACAGGTATAATGCATTCCTTATTCAAGGTATGCTCGAATTGTGCATGTACGCTTCTTCAAATTCTCTTCAAACAATCAAAATTTCTACAAAGTTGTAGGGCGTTTTTCTTCCTAGTTTAGGCCTCGATGCGGCTTTTTTGCCTTGTTTTCCAGTTTTTAAATGATTATATCAGTAATATTGTCAAGATGATAGTTGATCAATGCCAACAAACCTCTAACTATTCATTGCTGCAGTTCATTCGATTTATCCAATTTCTTAGCGATGGAACGCCTTCCACTGTCTCACCGCGTGCTGATATGAAACTTATTGTTAGCTCGCGTAATGATGTTCTCTTTCTGAAGATCTGCTTTCTCGTAATTGCGTCAAAAGTCGGAGAGAGAGTGGGTATTTGATTGGTTCGCTAAACATTGTCAGCAACATGATCATAAGACATGTGATAAGAACAGCGGTGAAATGGTTTATTGATGAAGTGATCACATCATCTAGTTCATATATGAAGGGTGAAAAGAATACTGACAAAGAGGAGGCTTGTTGAATTTATTAGCATTAATGCATAACAAGCGTCTGCAGTATTTCGTCATTCATTCGTTTCAAAATCATCAGATAACTGAGTACTGATCGAACGTCATGTTCAATGAATGACTGATTAGATACACGAGCAGTCAAGCAACCTGGAAAGCAACAGCATTCAGTGACAAGTTTTTTTCTAGTTTCGTGTTGTTTCAAAGGCGTGATGGAGAGAGGGAGGCATCGTTCGGGATTGTGGATGTATTATTATACATCGATGACGAGTAAGAAGTTGTGTTGGTGAATAATAGGGAAGGACGTGGTGAATGTAGCACTCCTATTATGAAGATTATTTATAAGCGGATATATAAGGTATAATCTCTATGTTTTCTTCTCAAGCAAAAAAAAAATCAAATCTTTCATCTACACAAACATGCGCAATGATCGCTGGTTGATTGCTGATCGACTGCAATGAGAAAAAGAATGATGGTGATAAAAGCAAGGAACAATTTTGAAGAGATAATGTGCGATGTATTCGTTCAGTGATCTGCCATAGATAAACTTTTCAGGGCAAAACGAAAAATAAACTAAATAAAAACAAGCGGAAGAACAAATGAAAGTTTTAAACTCAATAATTCCATCTCTGCTTACCACTCATTTATTCCATCTATACTAGATGGAATAAATGAGTGGTAAGTTATTTGATGTAGTTGTTGTTGAAGAAATGTCCAATAAGACAGACGTATTTATTTACTGATTGCTGTTTGAAAATCCTCAACAATATTTATTCCTGAAGTGAGTTTGCTTGAGAATAAATTTATTTTTTCAGTCTATTGTATGTCTATTTAAAATGAACGATTCTGTAAACGAACATGATCTCCTATCAATTTCTATTAACTATTTTCATAATGTTATCGATGATCAAATGATTATCGAATGAATGAAAGGAAGAAAAAAACAATGATGATTCTTCTAATCGAATTCAAAGCATTTTTCAAAAATTCTCTGTGTAACGTCGAAACTCTTCACTATCAACCGCATTTTTGAAAAATTTCATCCGCATTTTTTTGAAACTGCTGTTGCTTCGGACATAAGCGAACGTTCAAGTCTCACTCTTTTGTTGTTGCAACAAATGAAATTGCTCAAAACAACCACGGTAGCTGGAAAGACGAATGTTGTATAAAAATGATCGAGGAAATATAAAATATCCCTGCCATAAATACAGCATCATCATTGGACAAAAATATACGAAACAAATAAATGATAATAAGCATAATACTTCTTAGCGTTTCGATTGTCAGCATTTCGACTCCACTCTCATCATTATCATCAAAAGTCTATTTCGCCATCTCATAACAGTCTACATACGTTTAACTTGTTCAATCGGTTCACTGAAGCGTAGTATTACCATAAATTGAAGGTACACATAAAAATTAATGCATAATGAACAAATGATGAATATAATCCTAGAAGACGATGAAATTGTTTGTACTTAAAAGATATTCATAATTCGTTCCACTTACAAGTAAAACAGATTGTTCCCACCGTCGGCAACATTTGCAGTAGCCTTCGATGACTCAAATTTGTTCTAATTCGTTGCTGGTCTCAGCAGTGTTTGCGAATCGAAAATTTTTGGAAGTTTTCCGACAAGAATTTTTCACTCATATCAGTTGCCAGTTCACACTGAACGGAAGTGAACTACTTAATTACAGATTCAATAGAACCTACAGAAAATAGTAAAGAAAAGTTGCAAAAAAGAGCGCGGCAAAGGAGAAAAGAGGCAATAAATAAATGTGTTTCAGGACTTGCATGTTCAGACTTAATGTTTCTCACGTTATGTGTGCCTTTCACAGCAATCGATTACGCATTACCTGTATGGATATTTCCACGATGGATGTGTAGTATGATTAATTATTTACAGGTTACAGTCGCAATTCGCTCTTTTTATTGCTTTCTTCATTTCTCATACATTTCATGCGTAAATGTCGTCAGTAAATGACGATTCGCGCATATCACATAATTAATCAGTTAAAAATGCTAAGCAACACGTAAATAATAGGATGAATGAACTCACGAATGAACAAGCAAAAGCGAAAACTTCCAGCATTCGGCTGCATATTTCTCGGTTTGGACATTGACGTTGATGGCTGCTGATCGTTTTTTGGCTGTATGTTATCCGGTCGAAAGTATGACACTACGAAATACAAGCAATACAACTGTCACATTAGCAATCGTATATACAGCAATCGTACTCTCGCAAATACCAGTTGCAAGTATTCATGACATATACGTTTACGATTTTATTATTGAAACACGCTCAACATGTGCAATTGTTCGTATTGCTACCGGTGAAGCAAGCATCACAGAGGCACGTCGCTGTCATATTCACTTCTCAATACAACTTTCAATGAACACCTTTCTCAAAGTGTTATTATGCACAGTTCAACTTTACAAGCAATTTCACAGATTTTTCGTTCAAAAGTCAACCAAGAAGCCTGTAGGGATTGATCGCTTGTAATCGTTATTGCAGATCGATTTTGTTAGGTGATTGTTTTACTGGAATCATGTAAGGGATGACGACATCATAGTAATTATCACTGAAATTAAACCAGTGTTGGAAACGATCGTTACTGCTGTTAACATCGTTGCTGCGATCATTCTGTCTCAATATTTCTCATTGATAATAGTTTACCAATATTTCAGGCCCGATTGTATTTCTTCTCTTTCAACGTCTTTGGCTACTTATTGCCACTGGGCATTACTTGTGTTTTTTACTATTTCATGTTAAGACGACTTTGGTACACACCAAGACCGGGTAGAGGAGCAGAGGTATTCAATTTACTTTCAGTATAAACTCCCGCAGAAACAATTGTCGCATCACAGAATCTTCTAAATATCACATAATATACCGTTACGCAAAACAATTTTGCAAAACAATGTTCACGACACGCTGCCTTCGAAACAACGCTTTATAAATAAAAGGATATGGTAAATGATTCGCGCTTATTGGCGTGTTGTGTGCGCGTACTGTATGTTCCATGCAACCTTTATATCTTCTTTGCAGTTTTCAGCATAACATTTTCACTTTCGTTTAGCATAGTACACTTGTCAGAATATTGCCGTTCTTTTGTTAATGCGGAATGTTTGAAACACTATTCAGGGTATGAGGGCTTCAATTCGATCGAGACCGGAAACAGTGAGAGCCAAAAAGAAGATCACACGATTGGTACTTTGTGTGGTTGTGATTTGGGCATTTTGTTGGCTACCGCTTAACATTTGCTTCATGTTTTCAGGTTTTTGTCTCTTTTGATCATTCATTTGTGGATCCGGATAACGTACATAGTATAATGCAACTATGAAGTTTGGTTAGCAATTCGCCATATTCATTACAGGTGTTGTATATCCAGAAACGCTCGTAATGAAAGGTGGTAAATTAATGGTTATTATACAAATTTTGAGTCAGGTATATAAGAATAATCACCTCCGTTACTTTTATTCATCATTTTAAAAATTATTCCACTCATTCTGAATTTTAAAATTTCGTCATATCTTTTATTTCTGCTTAATTACTCTGTTACTTTATTGAGGCTAAATTTAAAGAGTAAACTGATTGATTCTGCTTCGCAGGTATTGGCATATACGAATTCGTGTTTGAATCCAATCCTATATGCGTTCTTATCGGATAACTTCCGCAAAGGTTTCACTCGTATTTTTACGGTAGCGATCAATATTTGTACAATGGGTCGTTGTTGTAAAGAGAATCGAGAATGTGGACGTGTTGAATTGATTCACTGCAAGAATGGATTGCATTCATTAACGAGGATGATGCCGAGCACTAACGCTTGTGCTTCCTCCTCATCACATGCACTTCATTTCCGCATCACTAATCAGGTTCTTGTTTTTCTTTATACCCTTCTGCAGCAATTATAAGAAATCTGTTCTCATTCAATTTCAAACATTCTAACTTTCTCTCTCTGATAGATATGATTGCTAAAAAACTTGAAATAATCACTGGTGGATTATAAAGAAATTGGAGGAATTCACATAAGTCAAAAATATTCGCGTAGATCAAGGTATGACATCATCAGATAGCGTTGAATGGAAGATCAATTTACGATTAGAGAATGAATAAATGCGTGATTGAATCGATCGGAGATGACTGTTCAAGAGAATGAACGATTGCCTTTCTTTTAATCTTTGAAGCTGACTAAACAATATCATTAACACAGTTGAGGCGGTCGTAAATGAAAATTCGACGTTGCTTCGGGAGGAAGCCTCATCGATGATGTTCAACGCGTTGCACTTTCACAAAGTCAGACGTCTGTCTGATTCTGAATAATCGACAGATATCAACACTCACCCGAAATTGTACCCGTTCATCAACAAACCTTTCAGCAATTGTTCGCTTCGAAGCGAGCAAGAGCTCTTAACAGATAAACAGTGTGAAAACGAAAAAAATTGACTGTGTACCATAATTAAACAAATGGATGACAATAAGAATAATAATAATGGTGAAATTGATATTGATGATCATATTGACAATAAAACAATAAAATGTTCTTTCAATTTGAGTTTCTAATAGAAAAGTAACTTTGAAGAGGACACTCAAAGCTCGCATATTGAAAATTCTAAAATTTCTGTACTTTAGATATCATTATTCACTTTTACAACCCATGATATTTCAAAATCCCACTTCAGCACTGACAAAGCTGTCAGTCACTGAGATGTCAAGTATGAAATGGTTTTTCTTAAGATGGAAAATATGCATTGAAAGAAAACAAAATACTACAGCTGATAAAATTAGTTGATAAACATAACGATATGGTCGTAACAGTAACAATACATGCTTATAATTACAGGCAATAGCGAGTAATGACAACTAAATGCAAATTATCTGGGTACATATGATGATAGTCAAAGTAAAGTTTAATGCTTTCATTGTAATATTAGAACAGCAATAAACAGACCGATAAACACCAATGTGTTGATAATCGGAAGCTTGTCTACTGAGCAAAGTTAGTAGGAATGTTTTGAAAGGCGATATAGTGAGAGTAAAGAGAAACAAGACTGAATAACACCGGTAACAATAACAGTAGATTACTGATTATAAGTTGATACGAAGTTGATGCGATGTGATATGACGCTGCTTATGAGATGATAAGATGTGAGCGATAAGCGTTGTTATGCTCATATTATAAGCATTGTTTCGTAATCACAATGTTTCGTACCGTTGCTTTGCTAATTTTCGCAGCATTTCTACTAGCCGATGCTCGCCTTCAACCAATTCATTATAGAAGCCGTCATGTTCATATTCATGAGCACAATCATCATCAGCTGAAACGGTTGGTATTGTTCAATTGACGACACGCGTCGTCCATTTATCATCTAGCACATATGCAAACCTTAACAATTTCTGTTGCCTTAACAAATCATAGGATGGCTGATATTTCGAATTTTGTTTCTCTCAACAAATGTGCACGATTCTTAAAACAGCATTATACGTCTAATACTAAGGTAATGAAACAGATGATAATATTTAATTTGCCGAATAACTTCATGAAGACAATCACGATAAATAATATCAACGGAAGTCATTATGAAAACGCTGAATCAAACGGCATTATTCAATCGCTTTTCATGAATCACAATCATGAAGACTAAAAATAGTTCTGTTTGAAGACTATCAATTTATTGATGTAATGAGCACAATTATATACTGACTTATGAAGGGCTATTTTATGGAAGATGATATCAATAAATCGAAGCGAAAAATGATGTGGAATTGCAGAATTGAACTGCATAAACAAACGACAATAAGAGAGCAGTTATTCGAAACGGATTCCTGGGACGAGTATCTTCATCGGAGACATCACCTGCTAAAGAAGCATTTGCAATCGATTGCAAACCATCAGTTCCGATCGCTTAGTGCTGGCTCATCATCCAATGAAATCGATGAACTGTTAAGAAATTATATGGATGTTCGTTCATTTTTCATAATTATCACACACGAATACTGTAATACTAAGTAATTGCTGATCCCAATCAAGTCGAGTTAATCAATTCGGTTCGCTAGATTCTTTTAAAATAAATTCGCCTCTCAAAGCAATGAGTACTCTTCGGAAAGTTTGTCCGAATCGTTTTTGGTCAATTTACTCGGATGACATTTAATTGCTTGGAGCAGTTGGTAATATGAACAGTTTAAGGCACAATACTATGGTGTGATTTCGATTGGAACTCCTCCTCAGAATTTCACGGTGATATTCGATACGGGATCGTCGAACCTTTGGGTACCGTCAAGGAAATGTAAATGGACCGACATTGCGTGCTGTTAGTAATTGCTTCATTAGTTAATTAATTGTTTTTGGTGTCGCAGCAGTTATTGTTCTTTTCCAGTCAAACTGTTCTATTCCTGTTTTATCACAACGAAGCAGTTCCAAAAAAGGACGTGAAGAACAGAACAAAATAAAACTACCGAAGGATAAAATAGAATAGTTTGCCAAAAGTGCCGAACAGGAATAACGCTAATGGGTATATGACACCTGAACAACTTCAACGAAAGACCTTTCAGGAGAACCGAACCTCATTCTAGGAAATAGACACTTCATTGTTTAAATGTTTGAAGGTGCTACTCTTCATTGGGTACTCTTCAGAACCTTGCTACAAAACAAAATTCACCCTCTTTCCTCGAGCAGTTATGCATCTCTACATTAAAAACACCCTAACCGAACTGCTGTTTGATTAATCTCTATCGTTTATAGGGTTGCATCATAAGTACGATGCTGCCAAGTCATCTACGTATAAAGCGGATGGTCGCGAACTTCAAATTCAATACGGTACTGGCTCAATGAAGGGGTTCATATCGCTCGATACAGTTTGTGTATGCACTATCATTATTACCATTTATGACAACTGTTGTGTTGTTGTTGTTGTTGTTCAATAACGTTTCTACTGCAAGAGATCAACCAACATCTGTCTTCTTAAATAATCGAATGAACGGATAAAGAAGACTTTGTATTTTGGGTGGCGGAATTGTGCGCACGGGACCAGCCATTCGCCGAAGCAACGTCTGAGCCAGGCATAACATTTGTTGCGGCCAAATTTGATGGCATTCTTGGAATGGCTTTTCCTGAGATAGCCGCTCTGAACGTGACACCAGTTTTCAATACAATGGTTAATCAGCAGTTAGTCGCCGAGCCAGTATTTGCATTCTGGCTCAACCGGTATATTTGCTGCATTCTTTATGAAGATGCTAATTCAGCCACTATCTTCCAGAATATTACTCCATATCTAAAATTTGAATTTTTCGCCTCGAATTGAAAACTTTGCTGGTGATTTGCTCATATGAGTAGTAATAGTAGTAATAATAATAATAATGTAATAATAACAATAGTAATAATAATAATAATAATAGTAATAATAATAGTAATAATAATAATATTAATAATAATATTAATGATAATAATATAATAGTAATAAAAATAATAATAATAGTAATAATAATATGACACTGTTGGTCGTCCGTTTTCTTCTTATTGATCGACACTAGTCAACTAATCATAAATATGTTCCGCGTTCATACAGTCACCAAATGAAGGCTTCTTCTGTACGACTTTTATCAACGATTCGTCGAGATTACGATTCAGTAGCTTCTCGAACTTTTTTGGGGGTTTTCAGTAATCCAGACGATGAGATTGGTGGTGAAATAACGTTTGGTGGAACAGATCCGAAACACTTCGTTGAACCAATCGTCTACGCTCCGGTCACGCGTCGTGCGTATTGGCAATTTAAAATGGATAAGATTAGCGGACAGGACGGTACTCTGGCATGTTCAGATGGGTGCCAGGTACAAATATGCGTCATGAACCTATAGCATTTGTTTGAGAAGAAACGTAATTTGCGTTCATGCAATAGCAGTATGTCTTCAGGCAATCGCTGATACCGGAACATCACTTATTGCCGGTCCAAAGCAGCAAGTACAGCTGATCCAGAAATATATTGGTGCAGAACCGCTATTCTCTGGTGAATACATGATACCATGCGATAAAGTGCCATCATTACCGGATGTTTCATTAGTCATCGGTGGTAAAACGTTTTCGTTGACATCGCTCGATTATGTTTTGAATGTAAGTCTTAAACCGTTTATTTGCACAAACTTATTCTTTTTTTGTTTCTTTAATCAACATATTCATCTCATAAAAAACTTCTGATCACTTATCCGGGCAAAAATAACTTTTGAATCAATCGATAGCAGCAAAAAATATTGCAGATCACCAAAGCAGGTAAATCGATTTGTCTATCTGGCTTCATGGGTATTGATCTACCCGAACGTGTTGGCCAACTATGGATTCTTGGTGACGTCTTCATCGGACGCTTTTATACGGTTTTCGACATGGGACAAGAACGTGTTGGTTTTGCACAGGCGAAAGATAACCATGGGCATCCGGTTGGTAGACAAGTCAAACAATACACATCGTATGATTACGATGATGCAAGTGCGGAGTGACGCTTGATAGATTGGTTATTAAGGAAGGTTAACAAAATTATGATGTTGATAACGACAATTATTTTGATTCTTGTCGTCCTCATTGTTCGATTAGCTATCATATGAAATCCTTATTTCTAACGCTAAAAAACCAATCACTCTGTTTTGACTCATAAAATCTCTCGCTTTCCAAGTACTATGAACACGTCATCGTTAATTTAAAAATAATTTTGTTCTGTACTTCACATCAATATTTGGTCTGTTTTTTTTGTCTGAGTGTATTTCATTCGTTCTATGATCAATTTTTGCGCAATCAAAGGCTTCGTTTATGCATTTATTTATCCATGAATAAATGTTTAGTTGTTTATAATTTACTGTAAGTTTTTCGAAACAAACAAGAGATCAAATTGTGTCTTGTAGTGCACATCAAGCATTCGATGCAGATGACACCAATGTCTTAGCAATTTTGAAGAAGAACAATTTTGCATAGTCGTATGCTGAAACGACAAATGCACTTCCACGACCATTCGTAAATTGAGCACCTATCAAGGGCATATTCTCGAGTATCTCATTATGACGCCATTCCACCTAAACGAAACATACAATCAGCAACAATGCTATACGACCGCAATAATAAATGAAACGAAAATCTTGATCATCAACAACCGAATGCGGCATCGTTCTATGAAACTGCACAGTCAAAAAAGCCGAAAAATCGACTGATCTTACTCTATATGCATCGGGTTTTCGAGTATGCAATTTCCATATGCGTATTACTGAATCCTCACCAGCTGACATCACCTAAGAAAAATCAGGTTCGTTTTAGTTGCAATTTTAATAGGTACAACAGTGATATTTGGAATAACAAGGATAGAAACAATGAGAAGTTGCAAAAGCCGCTTACATAGGCACTTTCAGGCGCTACAGCAATTGCATTAATTTGACGTACATGCGCGTTTATTTCGGCCATCAACTGCCCATTCACTGCTGAATAGAACAATAGTTGCCCAAGGAATGTACCAATGATTACTTGTTTTCGAAGCACATTTATACAATTTATTTGATGCCTTAAACGTATGCCTAATTTATATCAGTAATGAGAAGTTATGCGTGAAGTTAGCGAATATATGCAATAAAATATTGATTAAGAACAAAACGAATAATGTTATTGAGCATATGTTATGAAGAAAAAATGAACATTATTTGAGCACATAAGAAACTAACTCAGTTGAAATAATCTTTTGGACAGTTTTAAGATTCTTCGACCAAACGATAATCACACCAGAAACATCCGCTGAACAAGTCAGCTCATCAACATGACACGTTGCTATATCCGCAATTGCATATTTGTGCTCCTGAATTTACTGATTAAGATTCATATTAGAAAAAAGGAATTAGCGAAAATTTGCACTTCATCAGTGCAGTCAAAAAAAGTTGAAGAAACTAGTATCTCAGTCTGAGCGGCAAGTAAATGATGTCAACTTACATGCTTGAGATAGAATTTCTAAAGCCAAAAAAAAACATAAAAGTCGTCTGAAACACTCACTTAAAAGATCGATCATGAAAACCAAAATTAGTACAAAGATATGATTAAAATTCTCTAAGGACGTGGTTACTCACTTGTATTGGTTTCTTGGTTTGCACCGAATTTTCACCTGTACAAGTGAAAAAAAGGATATCACCCATGAACGTCCCTAGAAATAATTGAAAGCGTATTTTTCGCTCTATCAATTCGACACTTCAATGTCACGCTTATTTATTACCATCAGTCTTACCATAGGCGATATTTCAAGCTTCCAAAACCAAAATTTTCGACTGTGATCGACTGGATATGCTTAAGTTCATTCTCATTGGCAGCAATTTGATATTTTGACTAATTTGGAATCCATATGTTCAACTGAAAGTGCTACATGCTTTTGCATTACTCTACAAATAAACGACGCAATCATGCACACTTTATCTCATCATGAAAGAAATGATTCTAGAACAGCGATGAGCATTACAAAGTTGCTAACTTACCAACTACAATTATGTTTTCCACATAGCTGATACCACGCGTAAACCGAATCGATTCATTGAACAATTCTGATGACGAATTCGACAACTATATAATTCGAATAAATTTAGTTCGTTCGAAAATTTATAATGCATAATCATTTTACCAAAGAGCAACTCAGAGATAACCACTTTCAGAAAAATGCATGGATAGGAATAGCCCCAAGATTCATGTTAGTCGCCTCAAGTTTATATCAGATTGAGTTCAAATCTGCGAACTGTCGAATTCAGATCAATATTATATATTTGATCGCTTTCATATTATTGCTCCCAATGGATTCATCCTCCTTCCCTTTCATCTTATAGACACCAAATCTTCTATGTAGACAATTTCTAACAATCAATAATATGGGATGATTGAATAAACTTCAACCAGGTAATGAATTTTAATAGATTCACTGTTGCATTAAATTGATTTTATACATACCACATCAACTGCACTCCACGCAAGCATCTTGCTATTTCTTGGATCGAATACCTGAACTACTGCTGCTTAATTTTTGTTTACTCATTAATCAACAGCGTCACTTCGAATGATTCCATATTGCATTTAGATCATAAACTACTACAGTTCACAAGAACTCGAAATGAATAAGTTGAAAATGCGCAATTAGAATGCAGCAATTACACCAAATATGCCGTCAAGTTTTTGATGCGATGTATAGTACGGAAGAAGTTTGTGCTTGCTCAGTAGAATGTCGAATACTGGTTCTTACCCAGTCTGATTAAAAATTCAGTCATTTACCATTGCTCCTCCAGGTGAAGCGATCACAAGAAGAGGGAAGCTGCGACACGCGGGCATACAGTATTTGGCTTGTAAAACAATTAATGGTTTATCACATTCACCGTCTTTTATTGGAATTGCATCACTGGTAAAGCCTTCCATTTTTGAATCCCAGTTAACCGTATTCACCTAAGCAATTCATTCAATGAAAAAAAACTTCGATTTAAATGATCAATCAATGATCATGTGCATATTGATAGTCTTCTTATATAGATGGAATAATTAGAATAATATTAAGAAATAGGAAAAAAAGTTTCGAATACCTGATTTTTATGAGCAATACATGCGAAAGTGGTGTTTTTAGCTTCGTGATAAAATATCGACAGATTATTAGCAAAACTCGATGCACTTCCACTTGTCAAGATAACCTCTTGACTCCGTTCATACATCTTCACCATACTCACTTCCATGTTGTCTCAATTCTTCTTGAATATTGATAGGGAACCGGCTGCCTCTATCTGCTAGAGTACCGTCTTTAATTGACTCTCCTTCACTAATATTCCATAATTTCATAACTATTGAGAAAATAGCAAATATTATGATATTATAAAACTCAAAAATAGTTGCTTCTACTGAAACTTGTTGATGAACGAAAGTGGGGCAAAGACGAAAATGAAAATGACGAATGAATTTCTGAAATTAACCAGCCGCGAGCTCATTATCGATACTATGCTCGAGGAGAGCATATTTTTACGTATATATTGCATGAAGTAACGATTATGAGAAATGAACAAACAGAAATTCGTTTCCATAACGACCAAACAACCATAATTAAACTCACTGTAAACACTCACGCCTAATCCACAGACGGCTGCGATCAACAAACCACAAAAATCGCACACTTGTGTGCGTGAAGACACTGAAATTCAGATCCAATTTGACAATCCATTTCATTATTATTACAACCAATCGCATAACTAAACGATGAAAAGTAATTTTGAGTGATTTAGATTAATATGAATATCAATGAACGAAAATTTTTTATTGATTTGTGAGAGACCTTCACTAAAAAACTGCATCTTGCAACAGAGGCAGTTGAACATTAGCAATGGCCCGAAAACGATATATTCCGAAATATAAGTGCACATCGTATGGAACTATTATCCAGCTAAAAATCAAATGAATATAATTTATGATAATCAACTTGCTTCATATATTGATTTACTGCTGGACTGTCCATGGTTGCAATAATATGCCCGTTTCTTCAGCATGAAATTTCTCATCAAGGACATTTATCTACATCAGTTAACTGAGCTGATCTACTAACTGAAATATACAAAAATATTGATACGTGACAGCAATGGCCTATTTTCCATCTATTCCAGAAATACAAGCATATCGATAAGTTATCATTTTGTGATTGATATGTGCTGCATGAATAATAGCAATGAAATCAGAAGAGAGGAATCACGATATTATACATATGACTTCAAGTTAAAATCATCTCAGGTAGAACAGTACGCTTTTTGATACATTTCCTTTCATAAATCACTCACAAACACAGATTTTTGTGCTCATTGGATCTGAACTCATCATCACCCGATTGCTGTATCCGAGGCAGCTGCTGTTACTACTGTTCATTCCATGTATATACCACGCATCTACTCATCACTCATACACTATTATGCACTATTCTATTTACAACACACGATTATATAAAAGCATTATCAGTGTTTTAGCGATATATATATAT